AAAAATTGACCGCAATATGGACGTGCAGTGTCGCAACGTCGCCGGAGGTATGTGTGTAGTGCACCATCTAATTCAAGGTATCCTAAACCGTAATTCCGACGCCGCAGCGGCGCCGCACGGTTAAAAAACGGATGTGTGCACCGGGCCTAAATGTGAGTCAATGAACAAGGGCACCACGCAATCGCACGCGCAATGTATCCTGTCTGAGCGCGCGAATTTCAGACACCGTAATAGGATAACTTTAGTCGGTTATAATTTGAAATGTATTATAGCCTCGACATTTTCATATAAGAGTTTTCGTCTTAAAATGTTCTCTAGAATCTGCCAATGAAAGGACATACGACCTTTCTGGGACACCCTGTATACATTGATCCAAAAAATTCAAGAATCACCTATTCTATCCTCTCAAAATAGGCAAATTTCAAGATAGAGTAACTTCGTTAAAAATGATCGTAACGAGATTTTTATAAAAGCATTTTACAGCTTGAAATCTCCACTTTTTAAATTGGTATTTTAGAAAACGATTAACTGACTTTCTTCGGAGATGCATTGATACAAATACAGATGTGACAAATCGCAAAATTTTTTTCTAACTTTGCCAAGTTCCATGGTCCGAAATAAAAATTGCACACAAACGCGATGTACAGTTTTAAAAAAAAAGAATCTTTCTCTTTAATTTGCTTTTTTGTTGAGCGTCGTACAATTTTTTTTCACCGAGTTATTCAACGTTGAAGCAAAAATAATCCTTTTTGCTTCAATGTTGAATAACTCGGTGAAAAAAAATCGTACGACGCTCAAAAAAAAGTAAATTAGAAAGATTCATTCTTTCAAAAACTGTACACGGCGTTAGTGTGCGATTTTTATTCCACAATGGAACTTTGCAAAGGAAAAATTTTACGATTTGTCACACCTCCATTTGTATCTATGCGGCTCCGAAGAAACTCAGTTAATCGTTTTCTAAAGTATCAATGTGGAAAGTAGAAACTTCAAGCTGTAAAATGCTTTTTTAAAAATCTCATTACGATCATTTTTGACGAAGTTGCTCTATCTTGAAATTTGCCTATTTTGAGAGGATAGAACAGAGTGATCTTTTATTTTTTTGGACCAGTGTACATAAATATTATTAAACACAACAATTTTCAAGATATTTGTATTATTTTGAAATTTAAAATAAAAATAATTCCTAAAAGTTGATGTGGCATATTTGGTTTCAAGCAATTATCAAAATTATGAAATATAAATTATGAAAATTATGAAAAATATTTTAGATAAACTTTTATGATGTTCAATGTACTTAATAACCGTATATTCAGATTTTCTCAATATGTAATGTTTTACAAATATCTCTATCTTCAATGATTCAATTTTAGTTTAAAATGTTTAAGGATAAAAATTAAAAAGATTGTTATTGCAAATTTAGGTTAAAGAATTACAAAATCGTACACGCGCGCGCACATTATATATAATGTTTAGAAAAAAATAAAGAATAATATGTCCATAAAAGGTTTTTATAAGGTATTTTATAAAAAAGATTCCATGAGATTGTAATGTAAACGTCATTGCATTATTGTGCAAAAAAAGAATTATGGAACACGTAAAAACATGTGCTTTTTCTTTGAATACAAAATAACATAATACAAGATTGTATTGAAGAAATAAATTATCAAGTAAATTCATACATTAACATTAAAGCTGTATAAAATTTCTTTTTTGGTATAACTCTGCAAATAAAAAATTTTAGTATTGCAAATTTAATAAATGAAAACTTATTTTACTGATCACAGAATAATTTAATAAAGAAAATCAACTTTTTAAAATTAAATTATATAATAAATATAGGTACTAATTACTTATGCATTTTTAACTCAAAATGATAAGTTAGAACAAAGTAATAAATAAATTGTTATACAATTTATAATATGTATTAAACAATATTCGCTTATAGCTTATAGAATTAGTTGTGCAATCTTATGTTACGAATTTAATGTAATTTTTAATAATTTAATTATTAAATATGTAAAACTATTAATGGATTGTCATCTTTTTATTATTATGAATGGATATAATTTTTATATATGACTGCGAAAGGATAAAGTGATATTATACACTACGCCACAAAATTAAAGCATCACCTGTTCTATCTAAAAGTAGGCAAACTTCAAGATAGAGCAACTTCATTAAAAATGATCGTAACAAGATTTTTTAAAAAAGCATTTTACAGCTTGAAATTTCCACTTTTCAAGTTGATATTTCAGAAAACGATTAACTGACTTATTTCGGAGTCGCATTGATACAAATGGAGATATGATAAATCGCAAAATTTTGTCCTAACTTTGCAAATTTCCACAGCCCGAAATAAAAATAGCACACGAACGCGGTGTACAGTTTTCGATCAAATGAATCTTTATCTTTAATTTGCTTTTTTGTTGAGCGTTGTACGATTTTTTTTCACCGATTATTCAACATTGAAGCAAAAATAGTCTTCTCTTGTATACTGAAAATACATAAACTTACTAATTTCAATGTCGAGGGGCAACCTGAAGATATTAATCAATTTCAATGAAATTTTATTCAGATCATATTGAAATCTGTAGCAAACTTTTTGAAGGTATTACTAATCAATTTTCAAAAATTTTTGTTGACAATTTCTGACATCTTTCTGACATTTGGAGTAAAAAAATGGTAAAAAAAAAACAAACTACTATGAGGTTCTCATTTTTGCTATGACATATCCGCACTCATATAAACATACACACGAGGTGTACATTTGACTGGACAACCTCCATGTGATACACCTTGGATAATACTAATTATCCAATAATGCCAACGATATTGTGACTGCATTCCATTTTAACGCTGTATGATCATCCTTGTTTGACATTTGATAAACATCAAGGATAAAGTGATTACGTGAACGTAAGCACTAAAAACGTGATTACGGAACAGCCTCTAAGTCTTATAACTCGAAAAGTACTTAATGAAAAATAACATCATTATAGTGTTTGAAAAGCTATCGACATTAGCTACAAAAATATGCAATGAAAAATAGAAGTTTTCATTTAAGATTTTTATGTTGACCTTAAGAGTATCCTAAACCCTAGATCAAACTCCAAAAATCCGCTGTTTTACCGACAATTTGTGAGTATGTATGCGTGCGATATTAATGTAGTAGTGTGTAGTGATGTGTCATGTTTATTACCACATCAATATATCTCACGCATACATATGTACGAATTTGTAGAATACAAATGTATTTTTATTTAGGCTTCTAAATTTGATTTTAACGACTCACCTATATTCATTTTTTTATTGTACATCTGGCTCTGCCTTCATTTCGAGCATATAACCTGCCTAACTTTTTCACGAAGTAAACGTTTTGGTAAATTGATAGCATTAGTCGCCATGTTGAGGTTAAAATAGATAACGAAATCTGTAATTTCGTAATTTTTTCCTGTTTTTGGTACAAAACACACCAGAGCCAGATGCATTAGCATGTGTATGTTTTAATCGTGGAAAAGGAAATTTTATTCTATGCGATTAATACGAAGTATTTTGTATCCAACAAAAATGGTATTTTTGTCGATAAAACAGACGGCTTTAGCATTCTCTTAACGATTATCCTTAATAATCGACGCTGAGAGATCGAAAACTAGAGAGTTCTAGTGTTCCGAAGGTTCTACGTTCTAAATTTGGAATCTTTGGAGCGCTAGAACTTTTTAGTTTTCGATTACTCAGCCTTAATTATTAAGGATAATCGTTAGAACTCTTCGGGGGCTACCAGAATTTTTAAGAAATTGTTGGATTTCTGAAAAAATTTTTCGATTGATATGGACTCAAAAATTTAACAAAAATTTTTTTGGAATTCCCGCAATTTCTTGAGAGTTCTGATAACCCTCCAAAGAGTTCAATCAATAACCGTTATGATCAAAATCGCT